AACAAACTTCCAGAAAACTGCAGAAAAACTGAGTTCCTTCAAATCAAAGCTGTGTTGAGCTGCCTTTGACCCATAAAAAAAACAACATATTTGATGTGTACGGATGTTTTAACAATGGAAGTCAACAAAATCTAATGTCTAGTTCTGGTTTCTACAACTGTTGACTCTCTGACATGTTTGTGATGTTTTTACGTTGTCATGATGAAAGCACTTTGACTGCCTTGTTGCTGAAATGTGCTACACAAATGAAGTTGACTGACTGCCTGAATCCAGTGCAGACCACAGTAGTGGAGCATGTGACATTAACCTGGTTCAGTTCTAGTCAAAACTCCACTTAACTAGAACTGAACCAGATATTAACCAGCTAGAGTGAGACTTGACAAGGGAGAAAACTTTAGACTTTGCAACAAACAAGAATAAACTACACGTGTCCTTTTTGTTGTGACTGGCGCCTACAGTGTCCTTGATGAAGCATTCCTGACCGCTGAACCTTTCCACTGAGTCTTCAGAGGCAAACCAGTCAGGTCAATCAGGGGACAGAGCATACCTGAGTGTAAGTTGTTCTTAGTCTGAATCCAGCTGTTCTGTTAAGGCCTCAGAGGTTTGTTAGAGAACATCAGTGAACAAATAGTTCCTCAGTGACTCTGGGGACAGATTCTTCGTTCAGGTGAGAGAATTGATCAGCTGTAATACAAGTCATACATCAAACAAAGTTGCTTTTAGTGCAAAAGTGATATGGCAACAATTGTTGTTGAAAGAAACAATAAGCAGTCAAATTACATGGGCAGGAGTTGGGATCATTCTTTGCTAATTTCATATACATTTAAAAAAAATAAAATCCTTTACTGTAAGAAGAACAATCTGAGCAGAATTATGAGCTGAAAGTCGACAAGCTTAGAAAACTTACAGGTTTCTGTCAAAAGCATTGGGGATAGCAAAGTGTTGGAAAGTGGAACAATTATTACTTCACAACAAGTTGTTGGAACATACATTACACTGGACTCGAAGCACAAATTTCTCTAACCGTTTGTCCATAGGAACTTATCTGAAGGCAAGTTGCAGCAGAAAAAAATGTCATGGCATTTTGGGTGAAATAAACCTTTAATATCCCATGCAGAGAAAGGAAGCTAATACAGCCATCGCTGTAGTTGAACCCAACGCTGGTGTTGTGCTCCTAAAACAAACAGTTTCCTGTGAGGCAGCCCTCAAATATGGAAGGCCAATTCAGCATGGCAATAAGTTAAGAATTACCATGGAAGAACTCCTGATTTGAGCCCCTTAGCCCTTTTCCCAGCAGCTTGTTTACAGTCGGACTCACTGAAGGTTGACCCCGGCTCTTGTCAACCTTGAGCAGGTCTCTGACTCCGGGCCAGTCCCATCTGACGCCTCTGTCCGTTTGCAGAACTCGGAGGGCTGAGGGGTCAGCTCCGTTCTTACACCGTCAAGCCCCCTTTGCCTAGATCCTCGCTCTGCCAACTCCACTTACTGTCTCCTGCCCCTTCTCCCGCTCCCTTCTCCAATCCGCCGCTACCTCTGACCGACCCTGATACATAGCAGAGCACCACAAGACGCCGTTTCCCTCTCAGCCAACAGGGAGGGTTATGTGTTGTGTTATCTCTCGCTATCCGTCCTTTTCTCCACTTCTTTTTTTTTTTTTCCCAAACTGTCGGCTCACATTGCATTACAGCTCCTTGCTATAAGACTCCGAGCCATTGCAAAAGGATCAGCTTCTATTAGGGCACCTATTATCATCTCAAATCAGTCGTATTTTAGCATTTAAGTGTCGAAAGTTCACGCTGGATTTTCCAGCACCATGCCTGAAGGTAAAGAAGGCACATCAGGCGGCCGCCGATAACATGCACTCTCTCTCTTTCTCTCTTTTTTTCCCACTCTCTCATTCTCTAACATCCTGACTGTTTTTGAAATTACGAGAGATTTCACAGGGCCGGCGCTGGGCGTGATGAAATGCTCGCTGAAAGTGCCTGGCACTAGCAATAAACGTTCACAATGTTCAGCCAGTTGTTGCACAGTGCGCCCAATATTAAGCTAATCAGTCACTTTTGTCTTCTAGGCAACGCTTGAGTCCTCTTTTACAATTCTATTTACCATTTCAAGTGAAGCCACCCCCTCCTGTGCCCACTGCCCACTCCAAGCATCCACACACACACACACACACGCGCCCCGCCCTCCCACCTCCCATCTGACCCGAGGCTGTTCATCTCTAATGAAAGAGAAGATAACGCGCAGACAGCCGGGATCACACACCAAGAAGCCTGCCCTACATATAGAGCCATTCCGTCCACCAAGTACTTCACAAGATGTCACTGACATTATTTAAAGTGATTACATTTAGCGTGAGTGAATGTCATGGAACGGCACAATTACTCTCGTGGCAAATTTAGCCCTTCTGACAATTTCCCCCCTACAGGTTTTCTCCCTCGCTGTGTGCGTGTAAACCCCGCAAAAAAACCACTAAGTGTGCCGTCGTGGATGCAAGCGAGAGCGGCGCATGGTGAAACAAAGAAAATGCTGGCTTATGTCTCAATCCAAGAGGAAACATTTGCTGTCAAGTGAGTTCATTTCGGTAAAAGATGTGAGAACGCTGGTGCTGGCCTTGGAACGGTTTCTCCACATCTCACAGCACAGACTGATGCTGTTTTATTTTTTTCTGACTTAACTAGTGTTTGAAGAGACATATTGATTAGGTCACTGCATATACACAAGCTGCATTTCCATTGACCTTAAAATTGCGCGAACTGGAATTATGAAAATCACTATGGATGGCATTAATTTGGCCTCCAGATTTTAAAGAACCTTGGATTTTACATTTCCACAAAAAAACAATTTCTAGCAACTCATTTTGCATTCCCAATATTGCTAAAAGTAGAATTATTCTTTCCCAAGGTGATGCCGAAAAACAAGACCCGGCATGTGTTACTTCAAGGCAGCACTACTGAAATCCTTTACTTTTAAGAAACTCCAAGAAGTTCAATAAAAGATCTTTGGTTTATCCTAAATACTGCAGTGAGAGGTTTGAGGAAAGATCATATTTCTAAAACAAGAATAGGAGATAGATTTTTGGTTATGAGTTTCCTCTCCTGTGGAACCAGCTCCCAGTTATAATCTACTTATAAGACGAGGCTGAAAACTTTACTATCAGATAAAGTTCAGTGTTAGATTGGCTTAGGTTATCCTGTAGTTATACTGTTATGGGCTTGGACGGCTACTACACTCCAGTTATTCATTTTCTGCAGTTATTGCGGACACTAAAATCATGTTTTCTTTTCTCTCTTTACAGTTAGAGGACTGAATGCAAATATCAGCCACACTATTGAGATTTTTATTTGTTAAAAAAAAAAAAAAATGAGGACCATGTATTGTTTCACTGCCTTTTCAAAACGTGAAATCACAAAATGACATAACATGACAAAATGTGTGAAATTTCATGGGTTACGGTTATTTCTGCAAGACATATTTAGTTACTCCGTAGTCCAAAAAAGTAGCATTATAACATCACTGTAGGTACTTGCAGACATGAACACACACATTAAGTCATTCTCACTTACCCACACATACACACACACACAAAATAATTGAGATTCTTTCTCACAAGGACATGCAGAGCCTGCAGCAAGTGCTTAATTGCACAAGCTATCATTACACGGAAAATCAACAATTTTAAAAATACACCGAGCACCTTTCATCTTCACCCTCCTCTAATCGCACCAGTAAGAGCCGTCTGGAAGGGAGCTTGATGTAGTCAAACTATCTAAACAGCGCCAGCGGGTGCCTCGCAATCAGCACCACTGATGCAGATACTTTTGGACACGGCAGAGTGCCGCAACTCCGCCTCGCGCCTCTGCCATTCCTCTCGCCATCTCGTCTCCAGTGAGGAATCAGATGTGACCCCGTGTGCCATGTTTGCCTGTCTCGCCCGTAGTGAACAGCAGAGGAAATAATGGGCCAGAATTGCGCAAACCGACACAGATCTCTCGCCCGCCGTCGCGTTGGTCTGGGCTTTCCCTCTGAAAAGTGATTCTGGAGGCTGTTGTTGAAAGCGAGCCGTTACCCGCTTCTGTCTTTTTATAGCGGCAAGGATGCGCCTGTCACCCTTCATCCCGACTGAATCGCTGGTCTCAGCCCTTAGGGAAATGATATAATGAGGACCTCTATGTCCTCTCTTTGCCTCATTGCAACCGTAAACGCTTCACCAAGCCGGTGCTTTTGACCGGCTGAGGTGGAACTATCAGCCTGGAACAGAGTGCAGCAGTCCATCAGATCCGTGTAATGTGCCATCTGAATTTTCACAGCTTCTACTTTTGCTTTAACGCAGGTTTCATTTAAATCAGGCCTTCATGGATCTACTAGCATATTAGAATTTCATCAGTGGTTAGTTAATTTTGTTGTCTTCAATGGTGAAAGCCAATTGGGGCAAAAAAAAAGGAAAATCTATTTAGAATCAGTTTTTTTCTTTTGCTACTTCTAAATAATTGAGCAGTTCTGCTGAGTTTGTGTGTAGCAATTAGCAGAAACAAGCTTTGGGACCAAGTGGCATTCCAGGTCGAAGGTCAACTCACATTTGAGGCTGATGAACACACCCAACTCCCAATTTTCACACAGTGGCCCAACCTCTTAGCCTTATTATTGACAAATGCATAACAGCAATGTCAAGTGCTCAAGGGTGATCTTTTTTTGTTTTGTATTTTTTTTCTTTCTTTTTTTTTTCTTTCCCCTTTTCCTGATCCGGGACTCCCTGGAGTATGGTGCAGAAACATATTCTCTTCAAACAATCCCAATGACAGCCAAATAGGCTGCTTGTCGCTTGTAAAAAACCTTCTAATGATGTGAGTCAGGGGAGCGCCCCGCCTTGTTGTAGCAGACGACTCCCCTGTGTACGACAGAAAGCAGAAGAGGGGAAAAAAATAATAATCATGTTTCCCCCAAATCATTGCTCCTCGTGAAACCGACGACACCGGAGCATCTAAACAAACCTCTTCTCAGACGGTCTCGCTCCTGCTTTTCTGATCCGCTAAGTCAACATTCATTACAATAACCATTAATTTTCCATTTTCAAACAGCTTTTGCATGCAGTCGCAGACCGGAAAATCTATTGGAAAAAAAATTGGACATGATAGGTACATGAGTGGAAACAGGGGTTCTTGGTGGTGCCGTTGCCTCATGTTACTACGGAGGCAACGGTTCTGAGTCCCCCTGGCTCCCTCCTCGTCTTTCATATGAAAATTAGAACAAAGATGTTAGGAAGTTGGATGTTTGCTGTCTGGGGCTCAGGAAATATTTGGGGGGAAAGAAGGTAAAATCACCTTCATGTATCCCTAATGTGATTTCTTGTTAGAGATTGTAATCACAGCCACGACATGTTTGCACCTCTCAGGTTTGAAAATGCTGGCAGCTAATCTTGGATATGTGCGTTTTCGGAATGGTTCCCTCTCTGTATTTGTTAAAGGATTTTATTTCAGGATGTATGATTTGCTCTTATGATGATTTTCAAATTTATTTTGTAAGCAAACTCACAACAGTCTATGAAATTATGCGTGAAAGATGTGTGTTTTTTTTTATGTTTGTAATTTTACATGCTTAAGTTTTCTGGTAGAAGTGGGATAATAAACCCGGCGAGTTCATGGAAAGTTGACAAAACCAGATACTTTGCAAAATTTTCAAAAAACTAAAACCTACAGAGTAAACATTTCACAAACTGTTTCAATTAGTGGTAATCGTATCTTTAATCTAGGTTTGGCTTGTCTGATTCAGTTTTTAAACATGTCTAATGCTTACATATTTTTAAATATCTTAAAAAATAATTTAAAAAAGATACTGTTTTTGTGTTTCCACAAAAAGGAATTTATAAATCTTAAGCTGTGTCTCGAACCCATTATCCCATTTTGTAAAACTATAAACATACCTTTAGCTTAGCAGCAACAGGAAGCTTTGAAGAAGATTCTGACGTTAGCATTGTTAGCAGCTAATGGTTAGCCAGTTGCAGTCTCTTCTTCTCTCTTTCCTCCAGAGGACCTTAATTGCTGCAACAAAAATAGTTTAGAAGTGACTGTGTGCTTTTAAATGTTTGTAGATGACTTGTTTAGACATGCTAAACATGTTAATAAAAACCAATTTTGGCTAATAAAATAGTTTTTTTAATTAGTGGAAAGGCTAATAAAATTGGTTTTTATTAGCCAATTCTGTCAACGCAACAGCGCAACAACTAAAGCTACTACCTTTTATACTTTTAAGTAAGAAGAAACATAGATGTAAACATGTCAAAGTTAAAACATCTTGACATGCCAGACAATAAAAATAGCTGATTAACTATGTGAGACAGTCCTTCTTCCAAACACTGGACTACCTTGGACATCTTTTTTTTTTTAAAAATGTTTTTAAGATTAGCCAGTCTTTCTTTTTGTGGCAGCCCAGAAATGTATGTAGAAAGTTGTACTTTTTAGCAGAGCTCCTATCCAAATTGTGTCACAATTGACCCATTTGACTGCAACTTTGGCTTTTCTATGTCTAGTCAACAGAAACGTCCCTAAGAGGTTTACCTTGATGAAAACTATCTTGACTTGAAATACTGTGGGATTTAGTGTCACAAGATCCCATTTGCCTCGCCAACCAGTGATGTGATGAGGTTAAAATAATATTTTTAAATAGCCAAAACTTTTGAAGCACATTTCCTTTTTTCCGTTTTGAATTGTTCATAAAGTATTCATTTGCGCCGAGCATCATAGCTGAAGCCACAGTTACACGCTAACCCTTGTGAAAATGACCAAACAAATTTACAGGCTAATTAGAAAACCGGAGAGCGAACATAGATGATCCTTGATCTTAAGGGAGCAGGCCAAGTTCACAGTGAGATCACACAGCTTCCATTAAAAACAGATCTTCTTCATGTTCACCGAGCACATGACAGGGCGACCAACGAGAGCGCGGTGCAGGAGGCTCTGTGTCTTAATGCCAAGAAAGTGGGAGTGCTAACGGTTCCTGATTAGCTTCGTTTATCTCTAATTAATTACCTTTACCTAATTAGATGCTCTGTTTCTAGACATGGAGTCAAGTAGACTAGATTATTAGTGTGCTCATCGTGCCTTTATAAAGGGTTGAAATTAATGTTACGTGCAAAAGAATCCGCTGCTTTAATTGCACAGGTGTTGCCTTATGGCAACACTTCATCATCCGCCGGCTCCCCAGGATTATTAGCAGGGATTCTTACAAAGGGACTCCTCTGTGAACTGCACCGTCGCAGCAGCTCATTAGTTAGGCTTGTTATTGTATTATTTATTACGTTTGGCCTTCCCCCATTGCCCATATTGATTCATGGGTCCTGTTTTTTTTTTTTTTTAAACTCCTTCTCTTCCCGGTTGTCTGTTATTCCAAAGCCAGTTAGCGAGTTAATTTTCAAAGACCTAGAGCTATTTAAAAAAAAAGAAAAAGAAAAAAAGAAAGAATAGGAAAGAAAGAAAACGTGGAAGAGCATATTCTCACACTAATATCTCCTGTTTTAAAGATAAGCCCCCCCAATACATTTTTAAACAGCTTCCTGTGATAAACAAGAAAAACGCTCAAACTGAAAAAAGAGAAGAAATATGAGGGGAAATTAATTGGATTATAACTAACATTACATTAATAAAATAAAAACATTTAAATCCCTACAGTGGGTTTTTGGATATTGAAAAAAAAGAAAGATTTTCTATTAACTTTTAAGCTACAAAATAGCAATCCATTTTACATTCAAAGGTACCTTGAAGATAAGCTCAACATTTAGGACTGATAATCTTGTTTTACTTGTGTTTAATGAAGTGTTTGCCAGGGTTACTGACCTTGGCAAAAAAAAAAAAAAAAAAAAAAAAAAATTAGGCAAGAAAAAGTCAAACTTTGACTGAAAAAATAATGAAGCTGAGAGGGGCAGGATGTAACGGTTAACAACTGAAAATCCACTGGGCCTTTTCCCTGTTTAAAGCTGCTGAATTGATGGACAGCCTTTTTTTTCCTGAGTTTTAGTTGAGTTTTACTTGCTGCAGTCTTATTTAAAACAGTTGGTGCCAATATTAAGAAAAGTGTACTCTATTTCCTGCTGCCAGAATAGCAGAAGTGTATTGTAAAGGAAGTAAAAAAAAATAGTTTTTTCTTGAGTTTACTGCAGAATGATCCATCTGTTCCAAATTCAGCAGCGTTCCTCTACGAGTTCCTCCCCCGGGAATCCCAAAGTTCTGTACTGGTGGATCCTTCAAATGTCTGGAGACAGATCTGATTACACTCTCCTGGCTTTAGGCTCATTCATTTGTCAGATGCATCATTCACACTAGACACACAGGTGTACACTGATTGCAGAAGTTTAAGATCCAGAATTACAGATGGTTAGAAATGCAACTTGGAGCTTATCTGCTCTTTGTGGCATCGATAAATAAAGCTCAATTGGACGTAAACAGCTGCTGCAACCTGAAAGAAGTTTAGGATGAACTTTAGCTTCATCATGCAGAAGATAATCTTTTTTTAGGGAAGGGATCCGATTTTCTGTTGTTGCTCTTAAATTAGAATATTTGAAAATATTACAATAAAAAACCCACAAAAATAAAGAAAGTAATATCAATCCATCAGCTATACCTGTGTGTCTTTACTGGGTTGTGGGGTCCAGTGGTCATTGGTCAAGAAGCGGAGAACGTCCTGGACAGGACAAGAGAAAAACACATCGATAGAAATGAAGTGGCTCAGGCCATTTTTTCAAATAAGAATAGAATAATAAGTCATCATCCCACAGCAGGGACATTCAGATGCATTAGCACCAGTGTAACAGAACACCGAGGCATGTAGGTTCACAGACAGACGAAAATATGAAAATATATGAAAAACAACAAATTAGAAAAAATAATCTACTGTACAGTAAGGGCAAAATTTCAATATAAAATCAAAAATAGTGCATTCTGATCCAAAGGAAAAAACAGCTGAGCAGGATGGTTAGTTTTTTTTAATGTACAAAATATGTTCAACTCTGTCATTCTCCTTCCCTCGGCCTGCCAGTTTGCTCCCCTTCACAGCTGTTATCTATCACCTTATTCTCCACAGCTTGCATTCTTCATCAGCTGTCCCCATTTGCCCCATTTGCTTTTTCGTTTCCTCCTCTGCCTTGGTATTTAAGATCCTTCACTTCATTGGTGTGCACATTATTCAGTACTATCACAGTCTTCACCTCTGCTACTGTTCCTATGTTCCATGTTCCTGTGCATCACTATAAGGTTCTTTTTGTTATTCCTTTGGTTATACTTACTAAAAACTCATCTATATTTTGCAAACACTTGAGTCCTGCCAGCCTTCACATGCAATTTTGCTCTAAAATCTCAATCACAGTTCATTCTGGGTGTTCTCCTATTCACTTGGATTCCTCCTGTAGATTTTCAACCGGGTCAACCAGAGAACAGAAGAAGTTGTGAACGATGATGATTTTCTGCGTTGCTTTAGAATTGTAGTCTGTCTGTAGTTTCAGAAATGGCAGTGGAGGAAACGTACAAAGCTCTTTCAGCCAGTGTTGGACACGCTTCTAAATATTGCATTAACTTCAACAGCCGCCTCTCGCCACTTCTCACTTCATTGTTGATGATGGTTGTTCACAACACATGCAATTTCCAGTAAGTTTTTAAGTACCAAACTGGCTTATTACAAAAGTCACAGCCAAATTTTACCCAATATTGATTGGGTCAAATTTGAAACCAAAACCCAGTCCACACCTCCAGGAAGAAATCATTTCTCGATAATCCAGGGTCCAGACGCTTTGTGCGAAGAAAATGGCGTAAAAAGAGGGGCTGGGTTTTTACCAATTAACATATTAAGACTGTTACCTTTTTTAAATTTTTAATTTGTTTGACAAACACAAAGAAGAATATTGCTACCTTCCTAAAATAAGGTGGCATTTTTAGTAATTTTTTGGCAAAAGTGATTTGTTTATTTTTTTATTTTTGTTTTTTTTTTTTTGGCCAGATCATCTTTTGGAAAAAAAAAAATAACTTAGGCCACTGGCAATATGAAATATTTATTCCATGGAACTTAAGGTTTTGGGAAGAAAAAAGGAAAATGGCAAGTATGGAAAGGGTCTTTCCTCTTTATCCCCCCCTCAGTTCCATCATCCTTTTCTTTCTTTCCTCCAATTCCACATTACATTGTTTCAGAGAGAAGGGGAGAGGGGGGAGATGGAGGGGGCAAGGCTGACAGCTTGAGGAAGTCTGATGTCCTGGCACCTAAATAGCCCTGGCAAAGAAGTGCATGATGCAGTGAAGGGAGGAATGTGGAGGGAGAGGGAAAGACAGCCCGGGGGAAGCGCTCCGCTGGACGTGCATATGGTCCTCTCCTGGTCAGCTCCTCCACCGCTTCCTCCTTATCACTTATGGGCCCTCGCAACCTTGTCTTATGGCACCTTTGCCAATAAGAATGGGCAAGGCAACAGAAACCAAGCATGCTCAAGGCCGCTGACCTGGAAATGCGGCTCAACCTAGCAAGCCCACTCACTAACCCCTACTGGATTTGTATAGCCAGGAGAATGTACCTCCCCCCATCCACCCCTTCTTACCCATGAATACACTTCATATCACGCTCAGCTTCCTGGCAGTTATTGTTATTGTCCTCCAATGAATGTGGAAACGCTCAGTCTAAATATGTATACAAGCATGACAAGGCAGATTAAAACAACAATATCTCGTGAAGCATTTCGTCACGGTAACGTCAGGCATTAGCAGGAGCTGGGGTGAAAGCGTTAGAAGCCGTACCGTCCGTGTCTTCTTTAAAGTCCTCAGCTGTAATCGTCTTTGGTGGGCTTTGACGGGTATCTAGATAGATCTCCACCACTTCTCTCTGTACTCACTTCAGGATATAGCACGTTAAAAGCAGCTTCTAGATTTCAGATTTCTCCCCAGCAAACGCCGATCATCCCTGACATTTTCTTTCGGTGAAAGAAAAACAAAAGCTTCTCCGATCAACGCTAATAAATGACTGGAATTAGCAAAGATGATGTGACACCGTCTGTCATCAGCCATTACAAATCAATGGCCCCTCCAGTTGCGCGGGCTAATTCCCAGCGGCCTAACTTCTTTAAGAGTACGGCAGGTGTTTTTTAATACGCGATGAAAGGCTGCGCTTCATGAAACGTGAGGGACATGTGACGATTCGAATGCGGCCAGGAGCTGCTTGTCGAGACGAGACAGGGAATCAAGCGTCACTTTCCAGAAGCGATGGTGTGGGCTTTAAACTGAAGTATCTTAACTTGTGTCACGTTTAGGAACAATTAGAGTCCGTTTGATGTTCGATGGGAGAGAAGGCTGCTCATTTTAGACGTTTAGCATTTCAAGTACGCTGACATATTCCACTTGAGACAAACGGGCTGCATCCGCTGATAGTGTAATGACAGACATTGCTTTAGCTTGTCTTACACTTGCGTTGTAATCAAGTATAAAACGTGTAACAGTGACCTAAATCAGCTCCATACTGTGGATTGATGCGTCTCCTTTCATCCTATTATGTTACACACACACGCGACAGCATGGCACTGGTTTGAAGTCAGATGTCTTCATGCTGTTATTTGCTTAATCTCTTCTATCAGTCAGGCGTAACATTATGACCACCGACGACAAGTGAAGTGAAAAGCGCTGATTCTGTTTTCATTATGGCACCTGTTAGTGGTTGGGCAGCTAAATTAATATTTTGTCCTAAAACAATGTGTTCCCAAAGTTGGGGTTGAGAATATCCAAGTCTTCAAGTACTCTTCAGAAATTAAGTTAAATAGCAGAAATGACAAAAAGAAGGCATGTGCATTTTAGAAATGTTGTAAAAGATACAAAGCAGGGCTTGAAAAGCAAATAAAAGCAGTAAACCGCTGTTGATGCTGATGGAGCTTTCATTGAACCACTCAGACTCAGTAGTGAGTCATGACCCTCGTATTTTGATTTTGTCAGGCTGAAGATAGAAGATTTGGTAACTACTGTGTTCACAGAGTGTTTTGAAATCGGACAAATTGTGACGAGAGGGTCAGAGCATCGCGAAACCTCTGGCTAATGGGTTCCTGGTCCACAGGTAATGCACGTTTTGGTGCTTGACTAATCAACTAATGCATTGTGTGCTAGCTTGTAAAATATCAACAAATGAAAATCTCAAAGTAGATTAACAATATGTGAAACAGAAATTCAAAAGCTTTTTTTTTTGTTTGTTTGTTTTTTTTGTTCTTTGATTAGCTCTAATTCAAAATCTAAAATACAGAAGACAAGTCAACCTTGGTCTGGACTTTTATTCACTGGTTACAGTTTCTTCAATATCAAAACAGATTTTAATATTTGAGGACTCACTATTCTGAGTAAATGTGAATCCTCCTAAAGCACAGAATCAACAAAAAGACCAGTTAAAGCTAAACTAGACTTTTTCCTTCAATGACAGTAGGACAAAAGTGATAAGGTGTCATATGTAACTGACGTCCTTTTAGACTAACCAATCTGTATCTCCCTCTACTGACCATGAGATCCACTCCACACCACTGCTTTGGTTTCACAAGGTTACTTAGATCTTCTAAATATAAGGCTGCTTGGCAGTAAAACTAGAGTTTTTGCTGAGGTCCAGCCCTTTCGTTTAGACATCAACAGTGATCCAGGTTTCTGACAGAGGCACTGTTTGAAACCTGGTCGCAGAATGAAACCTTTCGGAAACACTCTCCGTGGAGGTGGGTGGTACTCCGCAGGTATGAAAGTACACATGTACAGAACGCGTGGTTCCTGGGTTTGTTCTACGGATCCACTGGCAGATAAAAAAAAAACAATGGTGGATAGCACTGTGCTGTGCTACTTAAACTGTTCAGTTTAACACAACTTCTGATAATGAATGAGCAATTGGTTTATCGGAGATGGGTTGCTGTTCTCTAAATGAGCTGAATGCTGACAGTAAGAAGCACATGCGCGTTTCAATGACATGCTAAAACTACAGCACCATGTAGTGGCCTGGCATAACAACTGCAGCTAACTCCAGGGGTCTTGGTGGTGTCGTCTAAACGTGGACGTTTTCCCCAATCAGCATCCAAAACTACTGTCAGTTTCCAGACAGCGGTCTCATATAAACATAGCCTAAACTGTGCTGGCCTAATTTCCCGTGTGAACCCGCCTTCCAACATAGTACTTACTAAAGAGCTCACATGTCCACAAGGTCTCGTCAAAGATCTGGTCAGGTCTTGACAATTTGGTCTGATTTAGAAAAAGACAAGCCAACCAAATATTGGGCAGGTGGTCATTTTCTTATGCCTGATTTGTGTTTCTTTATCTTACTGAAATCATCAAAAAGTTAGCTGAAGGCCCTCTGTGAGGCAAAGGTCACTCAGATAAAAGCAAAGAGATAACAGCATCCTCCTGCTTCTCATGCCGTTTCTTTGGAAGAAGTGCAGCAGCGCGACTCACACTCCCTCTCTCCCTGACACACTCCCGCCGCACTGCTGTCCTCAGCATCTCCATGGGGCGGTGACTAATTGCCCCCGTAAATCACTGCGCGGGCCTCGCGATCCTCCGTTTATTTTTCCTGACAGTAATTTAGTGCTTGCTCTTTTACACACTTGTCATCGCGTGTTTTTCCTCACATTAGAGGCTGGTGGAAAAAGGACGGTAATTAACGGCGCGACGGACGCTCACCATGGCTCTTTCATCATGGTG